ATTTCGAAATCCATCCATTCTTCCCGCTGACTTTATATTTATCTCTGTATTCTTGGAGATAAAGATCTACTTTCCCACACGTTTAGTAGAGTGTAAGTCTTCCATGTTTTCTTTTGTTCCTTCTTCATTTTCCATCCTTTCTTCTCTTTCCTTCTGTTTTTCTTAGTCCATTTTCTGATGCTACAGTAAAATACCTAAGATGAGAGTGCTTTAAAATCAGCAAAACTTTACTTGGTTTATGATTGCAGAGGCTGCGGTGAGGTCTTATTTCTGTGTTCATTAGCATATCTTCCATAGCACTGTGGAAGCATCGTGAAGGGAAAGATAGCAAGGGGGTGAACATATCTCCCCCCCCCCTTTGTAGCTACCCATCCTAGTGATAGTGGCCTTAAATCATCCACCAGTGTGACATAATTAAAGGCCTTTCGCAGCTCTCATCACTCTATACCATAAAAAAAATGACACTTGCATTTCCACTTGAGTGTGGCAGTGTGGCTTCCTCCACCCTCCGTCTCTCCCTCTGTCCTTCCTTCCAATTCCTGTTCTTTTACAGCTGGGTCTGTCTTTTCATGTCACTGAACAGTGGCTACCCATTCACCCCCAACTCTGAATATAGGACAGTAAGAGATTTTAAACCGGGCAAAGGCTTCCTTTCTTAGCAGAAGTGTCATCCTCTTAAAGAGGCGGCACCTCCTTCAGAAAAGCTGAAACCAGGCCCCCTCTCCAGACCTGTCCACTCAACCTGGAAGCCAAGAACAACACAGCCTGGCCTTCACTAGGCGCTTCAAATGGTGCTATTGCCCACTACAGTATTGAACATCATCCTGGCCTTCTTCAGCTAGCTAAAGGGAAAGTCTGTCACCCAGGAATGAAGTCAGAAAATGTACATAGAAAGTCACGAGAACCAAGAGGGGCTGCAAAGCTGCAGTTAGTGCCTCTAACAGCGTAGCTTGGGCGATCAGCAGTGTCAGGGCAAGCTGAGGCAGGCTCTTTATCCCAGCTCCTGTGGACGAAGCTCTGGGAAGAAGTTTATATTGTCTATGAACTAATGGCCATCTGAAACATTTCTTTTCCTTTAATTATGGATATACACAACAAACCACGGTAGCAATGGATAGAAAGAAACATTACTTTGTCCGTAAGAAACAAAATCATAGTTATTTTTAGACCCCAGATAATTTTTTTTACTCATCACTACTTCCAAATGATGATAGTTTTAGGTTTCCTGCTATTATGTATTATTTGATTGACTATTAGAGGAACACATGTATTATTATAATTTTAAAATATTTCGATTTCCTTTTCAATGCCATGTACTCATTACTATGGTTTTAACATAGTCTTCAGAAGGGAAACACAGTCTACTCCAGACTATCAAAAGTCTAGGTCCCAGGAGCTTGGATGAAAGAGACAGGCAATTTGTGGCACAAGCCAGCTTGGTCCCCCCAAGCTGATCCACCGCAGAGATCCAACCTGCTTCCCTTTGCCTAATCTCTCTCTCAAAAAGGAAGAAGCTGAGGCTACCAGAAAAGAAGCCCTGAAGTACAAGCTAATGGGCTAGGAAGTATCTAAAGTCATTTTTCCACCTTCACAAAAAGTCTTACACACTTCAGAGGTCTTTGTTTCCAGTGTAAGCATAAGTGCATCCATTGTTCAGAGGAAGAAAAGGAAACTGAGACAAATCAGTATATGTTAACATCTATCAATCATTGGTAGTGCTAGTAATTATCAATTACAGATGATTTGTATGAATAATGTGATAATAATGTGATGCTTGTCCTCTATATTACATTAATTACAGCTCATGGTTAATTTCTAATAACTTCACGATAGTGATTAGTACTGATAACAATACCGAATCCTGTTACGTACTAGATCATGGATCGTGGATTTTCCTTTCAGTATTTCATGCAATCTCAACAGAATCTGCTAAATGAATAGGACTACTTTTGTTATTTTCTACATGGAGAAGTCTTAAGCAAAGTCTAATTATCCCCTTGGAAACCTGGTATGTGCAGGGAAGCTTGGTGTGTGTGGGGAAGCCTGGTGTGTGCAGGGAAGCCTGTTGTATGTGGGGAAGCCTGGTGTGTGCAGGGAAGCCTGTTATGTGCAGAGAAGACTGGTGTGTGCAGGGAAGCCTGGTGGTGTGAGATAATTTTGTATTCTGTCAATTATGTTTTAAATAAATGCTGATTGGCAAGTAGCCAGACAGAAAGTCTAGGTGGGACAACCAGACGGGAAGTAGAGGTGGGGCAATGAGAACAGGAGAATTCTGGGAAGAAGAAAGCCCATTTCTCTGTAGTGTGAGCTCGCCACAGAAGAAGCAAGATGTGACTCCCCTGCCAAATAAGATACCGAGCCACGTGGCTAACACAGATAAGAATAATGGATTAATATAAGTTATAAGAGTTAATAAGAAGCCTGAGCTAATGGGCCAATCAGTTTATAACTAATGTAGACCTCTGTGTGATTTCTTTTGGGACTAAACGGCTAGGGGATTGGGCAGGACAGAAACTCAGTCAACAGCCTGGTGTGTTCAGGGGAGCCTGGTGTATGGGCAAGCCTCTGTGGCAGAAAGCACATGATCACCCCCAATTGCCTTCAGGGTGACTAGTCCTCACTGCTACATTGGTCAATGTTTGTCTACACATTCCTGGCTAGTTAGAATTAGAGACTCAGTCATGGGGTCATGGAGCCTTCCAAGAATTTGAGGAGGAGGGGGCTCAGCTTCAACGTCTCAGAGTTGTGGAGTCTCTGGGGCTTTACTTTGGCATAGAAGTGGGCAAATATCCTTCTGCTAACCCTTATGCCTTCTGCAACTTGAGTCAGCAGCTCAGCAAAAGTTGCAAAGACAATCCCAGGAGGTGTGGCGTGGTCAGGAATAAATAAGGCAGGGAACATTTGAACCAAAACGCACAGAAACCGGACAACCAGGATGTGCCAGGACATGCCAGTTCATGACTTACAAAGGCTACGGTTTTCATGGTGAATGCTCACATCACCTGGTTAAAATCAAAATAACAATAATGCCTGGGGTTCCCCTGGGCTCTGGGCCTGTGCTGTGTGAGAGCTACTGTGGGAAGAGCTGTGAAGCTAAAGACAACGTGAACGTTTCTTTCCTAGAAGAGAAAAGGTACCAAGGAAGATGAATTCCCCTGATTCCATGACGCCCAAATCAATGTTAGGAATGAACTGAACTGCCGTGTAAGACAGCATCATGTACTCATCTGTCTACATCAGCTGCTGCTCGCATAGCTCCACGTACCTATCAAGGGTTTAAAGCAAACACCGTGAGTGGCTAAAAGAACAGAATTGTTTCTGACTCTGCTAAAACCCAATTCACTCACAAAATGGGTTTCTGAACTTAAAATCAAGGGAGGGGAGAAGAGAGGGAAAAACAAAAGCTCTTTTATTTAGCATCATATTCACAATGAAAACTGGCACAGAAGCCAACCACATACGTTAACATAGCCTGGGCTAGTTTAAAGCTTATGAATGCTTTTCTGTGGGAAACTGTGAACATGGAAAAATCCATTCTCTTATTTTTTTTTTTTCCAAAAAAGCAGTGAGTTCAGGGCTCAATGTGTATTCAGAACCTTGCCAGAAATGCCAAGTGAGAGTCAATGGGGGAAGATCAAATCTGAAGGAGACTGGGACCTAGTAAACTGGAAACCAGAACAGAGGAAGGAAAGAGGCCTGCCGAACCCTCACCAGGGGCAGATTTCCACACTAGTCAGGAGAGGGGCAACTGGAGGGTCTTTACCTCTCTCGGATACCAGCCATGCTTGTGGAAGACTCCTTGAATCAAGAGGACAGAGCATCTGAAGTCTTGTTCAAAACACAGCAACCTTTTAAAGGAGGACCATGGGCCCGTGGGTAGGGAACTGCACAAAGCAATAGTTAAGAGACTGATGTGATGAGGTTGTCACTCAATTTTGATCACACGAACTTTCCTTGAATAACTTAGCATTGAGAAACAGAAAGCAACTGATTCCTCTAAAAGCTGCCTTGAAGCTAGAGGTGTCTGCAGCTATTTCTTCAAGCTTCTGTTAATCTTCAGGAACTAGTAGGAGCATCATGTAACAGTTTCCCTGGGGAATAAAATGCCCAGCAAATTCATTCGCACAAAGAGAAAAATAGTTTAGAGATAAATGGGCTAAAAACTTTGGTTTATAATACAGAACATCATTCTTCAGTGTATTTGTCTACTCTCCATCCTTTCATGTCTACATCTCTTTATTCACCTATCTCTCCATCCATTTACCTGTCCTTCCATCTGCTATGGATCCCCTCAACAAATATTATTGAAAACCCAAGTAGCACAAAATACTATACAAAAGTCTATAGATGGCCTAAGATGGTCACCATTCTTGGAGTTCATCTTCAGTGCATAAAAAAAACAGAGTTATGTATATTGATCTTAGTATAGGACAGAGAACATACACGGTCATTACTTGAGAAAGACATGATGTATGAACCAAGAACAGAACGCTAAGTAAATACATCAGAAACCATTTTTGCTGGCAAAGAACATGAAACACATATGATGTTGAAAAAACTACAAAAAAAAAACCCCAAAACAAATAGAATGTTGAAAAAGTTATCAATTAGCGTATTTCCAGGATTACTTGTGAAATATTCACAGAGGACCTCTTTTGTGGCATGGTCCACTCTCACCCTATAACACAGGCTCACTCTGCATGCTCACTCCTTCACTACACCTAGGAAGGCAGACAAAAGAGACAACGTCACTCTACAGCAGTGGCTCTCAACCTTCCTAATGCTGTGACCCTCTAATACAGTTCCTCATGCTGGGGTGACCCCCAACCATAAAGTTGCTTCGTTCCTACTTCATAGCTGTAATGTCGCTACTGTTATGAATCGTAATGTCAATATCCGTGTTTTCCTATAGTCTCTTTGGGGTTGCGACCCACAGGTTGAGAACTACTGCTCTAGCATGAAACATAATGCCAGATCAAAAGGTTGACCTACCAGCTTGACGAGGAAGCAGAATGTACAAATGACGTCTAAACACCTTTATGACCCGTGGTGCCAAACATTCTAGGTCTCGTACCTCTGCTGAAGGTGATTAAAAACACTGCCAGTTTTCAGCCGGGAAGAGGCATGCCAGTGAGGACCCTCTGGAACTCTGCTACTGGCATCTAGTATAGAGCAGCCCAGGGTAACTGTGGTAGGAGCCAGGAGATGACTAGGGCTCTCATTCTGGCAAGATGGCGGTGTCACATGAGCTAGGACCTTTCAGTGCAGGTGGTTGATGCATAAGAGCTGCATAGTGGATTGGCGCTGCAGGAGAGAATAATGGAGTCTATTTGGGGGGAAACAAACTAATGGAAAAGGAAGAAAATGTGTGTCTGTTGCAGAGTGGACACTTCGGAAATTGAGGAGATTTTGGGGAGACTCCAAAATGTTCATTACTGGGGTGGCTATAGGTGGGCTGCTTCTGAGACATGATGCTCCCCTCACTCACCTGACACTAGAGAAGCAACTGTGGAAGCATCCAGAATGCCAACTGCTTCGTCCACGTGTGCTATTCTTTGTGAGATTTCAGCCTTTGTCTCAGTTTGCACTGTGATTCTCCTTGGCCAAAAGGAAGCGAATGACAAGTCCTTGATGTTTGGAATTACAGTTCCTCACATCAGAATAAAATTATTTATAAAATAGACACATAAATACAAAAATACTATTTTTTTTTTCAAATTTAAATTCTTAAAATCATGAAATAAAGTAGGGCAGCGTGGACTATACCTGTAATCCCAGAACTGGGAAGGCTGAGGTAGGGGATCACTACTTTCGAGACAGTGTTGAAAGAGAGGAGAGTGGAGGGAAGGAATAGGGCAGTAGGGGACGGGAAAAAGAAAAGCCTGAAAGAAAAAAAAGTGAATGGCTTGGAATCGCCATGCTTTGGCAAATCCGTATGCCTTACCTTTCAAAAGAGGACACATTCTTCTTGCGTATGGGTTCGCGACACAGCAATCACCGCCATCCACACTCATGTTGTCACTGTGCGTGCAGGCCGTCTGTTGCTGTGTGGACGGTGTTGTGTCATCAATGACCTTGGGTTTTCTGCTAGTGAACTTTATAAACTGCAGATCAGAATCCCTTATCTGATCAAAACACAGGATCTCGATGTCATACCATAGGAATCGTTTTCCTACACACACTTGGCAAGTGGCTTCTTTAAAAAATAAAAATAAAATAAAACAGGTGTCATTTTGCCAGTCATCCACTCTGAGTATAACTGAGCAATGTGCCCAGTGGTAAAATGGACCAGGGACTCTAAAAGCAGACGCAGGTAACAAGGGCTTGTGCGGCTAGTGCATCTTTTACAATCTCCTCCATTTCTTTCCTTTGTTACAGAAAGAAGGTAGGCAGGCAGGCAGAGAATAGAAGGTGGTTCTTGTTATTTTTCAAAACCAGTTCATCTTTTCTGATGAGTCACATCCCTGTGTCTCAGCCAAGTTCTTCCATGTCCCCACTTGGCTTGAGGAACCTGGGTGTAACTCTTGGGTCATGATCCTGAAGACAGAGCCTTATATTTCTCCAAAAACAATTTGGGCCCCTCCACCCGTGATGCAATACTCCAACCCCATATAAACCAGTGGGAGCTTTTACGGGTTGACTAATCTGTTAACACCCTGTGATCCAGAAGGGGAGTTGCTTAAGCCTTTTTCAGGCTGGGTCATATAAACTGTGTCTCAGACCATGGTTCTAGCAATCTTAATGTCCTTCCCGATGCTGCCACAGGATACCACGGACAGGCAACCATCAGTCAGGAAGGATTTGTGCAAGCTCTACCTATTTGGACCTGGAAAGAGATCAATTCCTGTACATTGACTCTCAGCCTTAGGCCACCTTGTCTTATAAGGACTGTGCCTAGTTCCCAGGATAGGAACTGGGAATTATAATATTTAAGTCTCATAACTTGTGAACACAATTCCATTTAGCCACATTCAAAGAGGTGAATGAACTCCAACTTGTGTTGCTTTTCCAACATTTGTTCTTCAGGCAGCAAGAACTGCAGATTGCCTTCTTAACAAGTTCTCAGTGGGCTGGCTAATCTCATCCAATCTTTGCAGACAAATAGAAACCAACAAAATCTTTCAAATTTCAACAAAATCCAAGCCCTCCCCCCCAAAAAAACACAATGCTCTTTCTCAACTAGATATGTTTCCAAAACTAAACCAAGGTGGCAAATGTATATGAATTGTAATCAATTAGTTGCTATGGGAGCACAGACTTAGTAAGTATACCAGTTTAGAGAGGAAAACAAGGAGATGGTGATGTCTGTCATAGGCTCAGAATCGGAAGTACTGGCCTTAATGCCTTGTTTGCTAGCTACCGCTTTTGACAGAGCCAGACATTGAGAATCATTTCACTGTAAGTAAAAGGGGCACGATCATAAGACATGCCATCTAGTATGTCTCCACTGCCCTTATCACAGAAAATTAGAGGAGCTGACCAGACCAGTGAAGAACACCTCCCTCCAGATGGGACACACTCTTCTGCATCCTCCTTACCGAGCATCTGCCAGTGACTTTGGACTGTGTATGCATCAGATTAGGAATCTTCCCCAGCACTGACTGTATTTTAATTGCTTATGAAATAGCTTTATCTCAAAAGTAACAAAACTGAAAAAAGAAACAAAGCAAATTCAAGTCCAGAATTGTTTTTCTTTTTGTGCTGGTATGAGACTTCTACAGCACATCATAAATCATCAAATTTAGCACGTTAGAAGTGTTTTTATTTATATTTACTTATGAAAATTTCATGCATGCATACAATAGATTTTGATGACCACATCCCCACATTTTTTGGAATAAGAAGTCTGGAGGGTTGGCAAAGTTTGGAGGGATTTATCAAAGAGGTTTGTATCTGAAGACTCTGGCAAAGTCTGTTTCTGTGATCTTTTAGATGGGGTAAAAATTTGGTTCCTTGTCATTGTCTAAGATCCCATTTCCTTGTGTGGGCCACTCTTGGAGGCACACATGTGTCACAGCTACTAGTGGGAAGTGCCATCATAACCTGATCTCTCATGTCCCCAGTATTTCTTGTGAGGAAGATTCCTATGCCTTTGCGGGACTTATCCAATAGCTTCAGACTTAGTCTAAACAATCCTGCTCTCAAAGCCCATCTAGGGAGGACCTTAATTATTCTATAAACGCCTTCAGGCTGCACTGGTATTAGTATTTGCCTTGATAGTAGAAGGATGTGTATATACCAAGAGGTGGGATGTTTTGGAATTCTGCACAAAATTTTAGTTGGGGCTGTAATCATCACCACAGTGGTCCTCTGACCATCTCGGTTTCACATTCTTAGAAAATGTTTTATACAGTTCTCAGCAGCTTTGCTTAACCTAAAACCATTTTCTCTACTGTGTCTAGGATAGGTATTAATCAAGAAATACCCCCATTCACCACTGGCTGTGAGCACTGCCCCTGTGCCTCCCTTCCAACTGTGCTTGTGACTTTTAGTGTCCCCCACCTCGGGGACTGTAGCATAAGATGCCCTTCTGGAGAAAACAGATGGAACCGCTGTGAAAGCATGAAATAACACTGGGGTGAAGCCATGACATTCCTCTGCTGAGAACAATTGTGTTAAGACCTCTTTTCCTCTGGCATTTCCAGATGCGCATGATTCTTGGTTAGATCTACATCTCTGGATGAGCAATACACAACAGATAGAGAGTTAGCTGGAAAGATAATTGATGGTTGATAAAAAAAAAAAGAGGTGAAAATAAAAATGCATCTGCTGGGGAGAGAAGAGTAGATACCAGATAAATGTGCTAAGTTCCTTCTGTGGAAGAACATTTGACAAACTAAGGGGAGGAAAGATTCATTTTGTTCATGGTTTCTGTCAGCAAAGCAGGGAGGGTGTGGTGAAGAATCTCCTCCATGGCAGACAGAGAAAAGAGCAAAACAGCAGTCCCCAAAAGCACACCCCGAATGGTTCACGTCCTCCAAGTTGGCCCTAACTTCTGCCATTCCACTACCTCTCAGCAGTCTACTGAAACACTGAACACATAAATGAATTAAGCCATTCATTAAGTCAGACTGTCATTAGCCTATTGTCTCTGGAAATGTCCTCACAGACACACCTGGAGATATGCTTTCTCAGGCTGCTAGCAATCTCTCAGTCTAGACAAGTTGACAACGAAGGATAACGTCACAAAAACGGTAGCAACTGTGATCTATACATCAGCTGTGGGTAGGATTCTGCACGGGGCTGTCTGGCCACAGTTTCCTTGGGTTTTGTTTTCAAGCAGGTGGACTTCAAGGTTAGGTAAGTCAAATCCTCCATTGTTACCAGCATTGTCTTTCCTTCGAGAATAGATATTTTTCAGCCTATCCTCACTAGCTTCGCTAGGTTACTCTTTTTCTTTTAGAGCAAGTAAGTATTCAGGAGCTTATGGATAATACATATGTCCATATTAAAATGACTATACATATGTCCATATTTCAATGACTACAGTTTTAAGACTCAGCTTTATTCCCATGAAACACATTGCACATCATAAAGTGCATGCAAGAGACTTGTATTGGCAATATAAAGAAGGTTAAAATCTCTGTGAGCCTATATGAGGAACCATGTACTTCAATCAAAAATATCTGTCCTGCATACTGCCACAGAAAATAAATTCTTGGGCTCAGAAATATTAGATACATACTTGAGATTCCATTTGTTTCCCCCAAGTCCTTTTTCATTCAAGAAAACTGCCAATTCTAGGCTATTTCTCTTACTTGAAACTTTGCTTTTAATAGCGCTGTCAAGCACCCAGAATATGTTAAACACCACACCCCACGCTCAAGCTTCATAAAAAAAAATGCATACAGGAAGAAATGGTACGTGCCTTAGTAAACAACAGACCCAAATATTTTCAAACTTCAAATGGGAAAAGACCCAAGTTAATGTCTGATAACAACTCCTGGATGTGAGATCATAAAGAACATGGCAAAAAAGGACTTTTCCTAGAGAAACTGACAAGGACGAGGTCTCCCAAAAGTCAAGAAACATCTAATCTGCCAGAGTTTTTAAGGTTCCTGTAATAGTAAACAATAAAAATTTTATCTCTCAGCTTTTAAAATTGCAGAACATTTTTCCATATTTGCCCTGAGCATGGTGGTACTTTTAATTCGACAGTGCAGTGTGACATTTACAAGAGAACACGAATGTGTTACCTTACAGATTCCTAGAGACTGAAGGGTTGTGTGAAATGAAGACAAATTTAAAACTATAGGGCAACATCTTTGAATTGATTCACTGTTGGTTTCTATAATAACCATGTCCACACCCGCCTTATCTTGGGGAAAGCCCCTTACTTATTAATGTGTTTGGTTGTGGAAAGTGAACATCTCAGGTGTGCTGGAAGGTCCACACTACCAGGATAGATGAACCTAGGGCTAGAAGAAATTAGGCAGAGATCCATCTACAAAGGAGATAGGAAAGAAAAGGGGATGAGAAGGGGGCATGGCGGAAGAAAATAGCCCTTATGCCTCTTTCTACGGAAGGCTGGGAGGCTTGCCTAACAAGGCAGAAGGAATGGTGAAGATCTTCAGGTGTCTCTTCCTCCACCTGGAGCCCGTGGCTCTGGTCCTTCCCAACAATGCAGGGATAGGGGAATCCGGGCCCAGTGCAACACCTGCATAGTTGTGGACAAAGTTTCTTTTTCCCCCATAGGTTTACAGAATTCCTAGAGCACAGAAATAGCTGCTGGACCGTAAGCAGCTTTTGCAAAATTACCTTAACTCGCAGATGTTTTCATGCTAGCCTGGGGACTCCGGTGAAATCTAAATAAGTGGGAAGGTTCAGCTATCTTGGAGACTTCTTCATTGTAAATAATCATCTGTAGATCGGATGCACCAGAGAACGCAAAATGTGGGTATGTTCACGCTAACAACATAAATCAAGATGGCTGAATGTTTAAAAAACAAACCCAAAGCACCCTGAGGCTGCAACCAATTATGAGAATTCTCAGCCGAAAGGAATCAGTCATTAGATCATTTATAACAAGGAGCGCGGCGAGCAAATGAAAACTGCTGGCTGTGTCGGAGCCACCGCAAGCGCGGTGATGCTTTCTTTCTATTTATAAGTCTGATCATGAGGACCGCGGGAGGGTGAGCTTGGGGCTCGGCAGCCTCCCTCTGATACAGCTGGCCTCACTCTGCTTTCTGAGACCATGGCTGTGCAGTCGGCTAAGGTCAGCCATTATTCCTTCTGTGATTCTGTCCTCTGACTCTGTACTCTTAGGGCATTTGTTTTTATCAACCCATTCACAGACGCACAGTGGGCAAAGCCCTCCTCACCTGCCTCCTTCCTGTCAGTCCTTTTCCAGAGAGCTGCTCAGGCTTCACTTTCACAAGGCAGCCTCTGTGGCCACAGACTTCCCACAGAGTCAAGATAAATGGCTGATAGCCTCTAATTATTTTCTGTCTTTCCCTGCACCGGACTTCCCACAGGGCAGCAGTGATGTCTACACTCATGGCGAGAACTCCAGCACCTCACAACCTGGTCTTACTGAATGATTTAGGAAAATAGCGAAGCACTCTTGGGAAGTCTTCGTAAAGGACAGAACATCAGTCTCTACTCACCAAGATTCCCAGGAGCACTGGTGCCATGACTGGTGCGGCATCTTCTTCATTGCTTCCTGGTTTGCCCTCAGGGTCACACGCATGGCTGCCACAATCATAAGCACACATACTCTTAGAGCTGAGCTTAAAGATGAGGGGGCATGGGGATTACATCTCAAGCTCTAATCTGTCACTGAAGAAGGAAGTCTTTTCTTGGGGACCTTCTCTGCAGCCTTCCCCATACCTCCCAGAAGCCAGCGCATGACCATGTGCCCTCGCCCTGCCTGTGAGAAAGGCTTAGTAATTTTGGTCCTGATGATTTTTATATGTATAATAAAGGATTGCAATAAGGCTCTACAGGAATTAGAAGAGCAGGGAAGTGGCCACTTGATTATCATGCAATGTCTGGCAGAAAGACCTTAGTTGGCACTTCTTCACTAATTATTTTGGAAAGATTCATTAAAATATATGCACCATTGTTCTGTTAGAGCATAGAACTTTCCCTGGTTCATAGAGAACCTAATTCCACTGGTAAAATAAAAATCTCTGTTAATAAGTACATCCGGTGTCCTATAGGAACGCTGCCAACATGATTGATGGATGACCTTGAATATTGAGATGATGCTCTTAACTTATGGCTTCAGCCCATCAGCTTGCTGCTGTTGTTACTGAGGCAGAATGACTATTCCATCCAGAAAAAAAGTCTTCCAGGCCTTAGCTAATGCTTCTCTATAAAGGAAAAAGCTGCTTCAAGGACCAAATCAACAAAAATAGCCAGTGAGTATTACTGAGTAGACAAACATTGTTTGGGGTCCAGGATTACTTAGTAAATTGATAGAGGATGCCTACATGTTATACTGAAATTCACTGATATGGGTAAGTTATAGGCCTGTAGCCCAGATTCCCTTCATGACTAGAATATGGGCTTTAAGTATCTGTGCTAGAGACAGACATGGTATCTTTTATTTTCTCTGTCTTGATTAAACCCATTTTCAGTTATAGTTTAAAAACTCATTGCTAAGGTGCAGGCTGCTGAGATATATTGTTTTGACTTTCTTGGCAGGCATTTGACCAGAGGTCTGCCTGGACTATGGAAAAAGGGACATCAAATTTAATTTAAAGAAAACAACCTGAAAGTAACTGCAAGAACAATGGGCAAACAACTCCTGAAGAGCTAGGAGGCTGGCGACACTGACAGGAGGCTGGAGAAAAGGAACATGGGATTTAGCTGAGAGGCTATAAGTTACTCGGAAATGAACTTCCTTGAGGGTGGAGGGATCCTTGGGTCATTTCTGATATCATAATGCATGTGAGCTTCTCTCTGTGAGTGTTCTGTACATCTCAAGAGGCAAAGTCTCCATTTCCTACACAGGATCCTCTTCTGTCTCAGCTGACTCTCAATGGAGGGGCAACTAGAACAACACCATCTCCCCGGACGAAGAGCATGGGGATGTTCCATTTTGTTGATTTATATATCTCCTCATACGTCTTTTCATCAATCTCTATTGTTGTCACAGTTTCTTCCACATCTCCCAGGATCATATTTAAATGTTGATCATAAGCATGTAATCTGCCTCGAAGCTCTCTGTCGTTTCTCATCTTCACATAAATTCGCTCATCCAAACTGAGCCTGATGAGATCCAGGGGCTCCTCTACAGTACTGGTGGTCTGTTGCTGATCTACGTCATCCGCCATGTTTCAAATGCTGCCTGGACTATGGACTTTGAGATCAAAGAAGAATTTTGTCTTGGATTTGGAAGGATAGAACCATGAAGACCTTTCTAAAAGTTTTGCCAGATTTGGAAACTAAGTTATTCTATTGTCCCCCCCCCCAGACCATTAACTATATCTGAAAAATTGCTCACTAGCTCAAAGTGACTATGGCATTGTCAAGAGCTCTGCTGTCCCAAGCTTACTTCAGAATGAGACATCTTTATACACTGATTGTGCCCATTCATTTTGATTACCTGAAATTTTGTACAAGATAACTCCCTGGGTGACCTGCTAGATGTTTTCATATTATAGGAGATTCCTGGTTTGGCTTGTGGCTGTCTCATAGGGAACAAACCCTTATAAACAGTATTATTTAGACTCTATTTCCCCTGGCCACATCGTGAACCACTGGACTTTCAATAGCCTTTCTCATAGTTACAACATTTGCTACTTATAAGAGTTATATACTAAACTCTTCCCCTCCGAGATTATTTCTCACCCTCCATCCTAACAGGCTCCTTAACCAGAGCCACACACCCTCTCTTTGCAGTGACCTTTCACATAATTCTCTGGCTATAATGTGATGAGTCTCCAAGAATATATAGGCAAACACCAATTCACTTGTGCAAATCTTAGACATGATGGTATTCCTCTGGGAAATTTGAAATAGCTGCTTTAATTTTGAAGACTTGATATTGGTCAAAGGACATGCCAATGTTTGAGAGAAGAGGAAAGATGAAAAGAAAGTCTGCTAATTTTGTATTATTCCTGTGACCAAATACCTGAGAAAAACGAAACCTAAAGGAACAGCTGTGCATCTTGGCTCACTGAGGGGGATAGAATTCTTGCGGGGGCAATATGGTGGCTGATAGCTCTGTGACTTTGGCAGCTGCTTGTTACCTGGCACCAAGCAGGAAGCAGAGAAAAGGGTGGGCTGGGTCAGGGTCTGGACCACCACCCAGTGACCTATTCCCTGACACTAAATCCCAATTCCCACAGGATTCACATCCTTCCCAAACAGAAACACCAGCTGGGGACCAAGAGTTCAAACACGTCAGTCCATGCAAGGAATTTCACATGCAAATCACAACAGCAAGGTGAGTGATATGTTTCCTGTGGTCAAAGGCCACTTTCATAAAACTTTTTTTTTTTTTGAAAACTACAAATTCTTGATCTCCTTTGTGAAGATATTAAGTAAGGCGCTTTCAGGGTCAGATGTCAAGATGTAGACTTTTGCAATCTGGTCTTTAGTCTCTTTTTTTTTTTAATTTATTTATTTATTAAAGATTTCTGTCTCTTCCCCACCGCCGCCTCCCCTTTCCCTCCCCCTCCCCCAATCAAGTCCCCCTCCCTCGTCAGCCCAAAGAGCAATCAGGGTTCCCTGCCCTGTGGGAAGTCCAAGGACCACCCACCTCCATCCAGGTCTAGTAAGGTGAGCATCCACGAAACTGCCTAGTCTCCCACGAAACCAATAGGTACAGTAGGATCAAAAACCCATTGCCATTGTTCTTGAGGTCTCAGTAGTCCTCATTGTCCACTATGTTCAGCGAGACCGGTTTTAACGGAGGCTTTTTCAGACCCAGACCCGCTGGCCTTGGTGAGTTCCCGATAGAACATCCCCATTGTCTCATTGTATGGGTGCACCCCTCGCCCACAATGGAGCACCAGACTGAAATCTCATGGTCTTTAGTCTCTTGATGATGTCATCATTATCTCTCTCTTTTTTTTTTTTTTTTTACAAGGGTTTGTTTCTTTTTTCATTATGTGGATTGTGTGGGGATGGCTTACGCTCATGAGTACAGTTGCCTGTGGAGGCCAAAAGAGCCTTAGGTTCCCCTGAAGCAGGAGTTACAGGGAATTGTGAGCTGCCTGATGCCGGTGCTGGGAACTGGACTCAGGTCCTTGGCATGAGTTTATCTGAGTTAACCACTGAGTCATCTCTCTGGCCCCAACACTTACCATCTCAAAGAAGACAGTTATGGCCTACTAGATTTTGTGATTCATCAGTCAACCTGAAACGGGATGAGTGGTAGACAAAATGAGCAAGTATTAGTTTATAAAGACAAAGCTACCAGTGATGTGTATGGTGAAGGGTTTCGCCGTCTGTGTGCTGTGGACTTCCCCACACAATAGGAAGGCAGTGCCTGCTCCTGAGAGCAATACTGTCAACAGCGGAACCCAGAAATCACAGGGTCGCGAAGGGAAGAAACGAAGGTTTACTTTTATCTAGGGCCTCCAGGAAATCTTTGGAGATCAGATTAAGATGTTCTTAGCCAAGTGACAAAATAACCGAGCTATTGAAACCTGTTAAATAGCAACAACGGGCCAAATTTGCTTAGACAATACCTGAAGTTGCCAGTCTGATTCAGAACGCTTCAGGGAGAGGGGTCCACGGGGACAGTAACTAATGTGCTTGCAATGGAGAGCCATAGGGAACAGTGATGCTCATCACTTAAGCCCTTTCCCGAATGTTTACTCTCTACCTACACAAACAAAAATTCTCCTCTATTTTATTTCATTTTTTCTAAAAGTGTGTTTTGTTTATTTATAAAGAAATAAAAATCGTATTTCTAAACATTGTATGACAGTAGTGTAGTGTTCTAAAATGTCCATGGTCATATATGTGTATAATCCCAGCACGGGGTAAATTGACGATCATGAATTGAAGACCAACCCTTGCTACATTAGGAGATTCTGCCCAAAAAAGAGACCAACCAACCAACTAAATAAACAAACAAAAAATGTCCCATAGGACTATTTTGAACTTGGAATCTTACCTCTAACCAGAATTATTTCACCCTCATTCAGTAGAATATACAGGATATAGTTCATCAAAATGAAAAATTTAGAAAAAGATATATATGGGATTCCAAGAAAACAATGAAACTTATTTCTTAGCTCCAAGTTGTAGATAAATTTAGCTAAGAAATTTAATGTAATGCTAAGAGCTCTTTAAGTCTTTTTTTTAATAACATAATTTTTATTGAATCTTTGGGTATTTTACATCATGTACCCCAATCCCACTATTTCCCAGTTCTTCTGTATCCACTCCACCCCACAAAAGATAATAAAAAATAAATTAAAATAAAGAATAGAAAAGGAAGAAAAAAGAAAACACCTAACAAGTAAACAAGAAAAACCATCTTGTTGACCCCTCTGGGTGACAGTTCAACAGGCTCCTCCATCACCCGTAGCATTCTGTGTGCACCTCCATCTTTCCCAAACCCCCATCACATATCCGGTCATCGTAGCGGCACTGGAAGCTGCCATGTGTCACACATCTACCCTTTTGCACAGCCAAACTAAACAGCTTTACTTGCGAGGAAGGTTAGTTCAAGGCCTCTGTCGTCTGCTACAACATCAATACTGAACTCTCATAGAAACTCTCAGGTATCAGTTATGTAGTTACAGGCCCAGCCCCTTCAAGGGCAGCAGCTACTAGACGGGGAAGATATTGGGGTGAGTCAACTCAAAGCCCTGGATCTGGCCGGGCCTGGTGGGTAGTGAAGCGGCTAATCCGTCCAGGTTTCTCAAATCCAGACCAGCGGAGTCAGCATCCCTGTGACCAGGTAAGGGGCCAGAGCAGCTCGCCTTATCTCTTCCATTTTAAAAGTTACACTTTGTGCAGTATAGATCCACAATAGAGTTTTTTGTTTTTTGAGTTATAATGAAGAATAAAATTGTATCATTTTCAGGAAAATCAATGGAACTGGAGGTTATTGTGTTAAATGAAATAAGCCAGACTCGAGAAGACAAATACTGTGTGTTTATCTCCTCAGAAAGATAAATACTGTGTGTTTATTTCCTATGCAGAAGATAGATTGAAAGAAAGAAAACATATGGAATTCAAGCAGAAGAGACACTATTTAGAGCGAAGAAAAAGAGGAAGAGAGCTTGGAGGATGCTTGCCATGTATGAAAATGTCTCAGAGACGTGTTATTCTGTATGCTAAGTAAAAATTATAATACAGATAGATAAAAGTCCTATCTTGGTCTTAGGTTTCCCTCCAGCTATCATGCTCCCTCTTTTATTTGTCAAGTAATTATTTTTGATTTGCGCGTCAAGCGTTTAGAATCACTTCGCATCTCTTTCACCCATGACCTCCCTCCCGTCACCATTGTGTCCCTGTTGTCTTTTCTACAATACCCAATGTCACTGGACACTACTGACCACTCCCTTCCTTTATTCCCTCCCACTCAACTCCCTAGCCCTGCTTGGCCTGGCCTTCTCAGTCCCTAGCTGGGGGATTTCAGTCTTCCTTCCTTTACTCTCAGAGCATCCTTCATCCTTCACCAGTATTTGGCCTGTGTCCTGGGTCCTTCTCATCTTATCTGTCCATTTTTACTGTCTCCACAGGCTGCCCCATTGCAGGCCTCCTCTGTATGGCCCAAATCACTGTACCCACTTCATTTGCTTGCCCCCTGCTTGCCCCCATCCATCTTTGTCTCATACCCAAAGCATTCTCTGCCTTGGAGCTCACACTTTCCGTTTCCATGACAATGTGTGTCTCAGTTTTCTTTCTCAATATCATTTTAGAAGGTATTCTCTTTTAATAATTATCTCTCTGTGTGTCCCGGGGCACCCTGATACATGCAGAGAAGTCTCAAAATTGCTTCCCTTGGCTTTCTTAATAGACTATCCAAAAAGAACCCCACAACTCATCAATTAAGAAGAAGAGTTAAAGGTCTCTTTTGACTTAGGATCTTAGGTTCTCTCTCTCTCTCTCTTTCTCTCTCTCTCTCTCTCTCTCTCTCTCTCTCTCTCTCTCCTCTGTGTATGTGTATGAGTGTTTATGTGTGAGCCATAGCATCACAGAGGTCAGAGGATGGTGTGCAGTCAGTTCTGTCCTACCTTGTGTGGAAGGTGTACATAATAACTAAAATCTATTACCATTCATTACCCACCGCTTTTCATCATGCTATAATAAATAATAATGTTAAATAACAAATATTATGAGGATTTTTGTTTGATGATATAAAGCATTAAAGACAGTCTGGGTGATTACTTAGTAATTTTGACACAGCCAAATAACTTTGTAAAAGATATCTTTCTTTTATGATGTTGTCTGTAAGAGTGCTTTGCT